CTAACCCTCCCCCCCCCCCTTAGTTTTCAATCACATCAGTACCCGGATCCAGATCACTTCATGGCTGCAATACCACTTGTGCTGGTGTGAGAGAAAGGAAAAGTGAATATAGAAACAAGAGCAATGAATTTTTACAGCGGCACCAGCTCATATGACCTCAGTGTGTATACGAAACTATGGTGTGATCATCCATTGCTCAGTCATGTACCGCTCCTTACACTGTCTGCAATAAGCACTAAGCTAGAGCTAACTCTGAATTTACCTTTGTCTAAAACTTGTTTACAATTTCTGAAAACAAACACGATGTGATTGTGGCAGCTATTTTATAGCGACCTTGCACTGACACAGAAGCATCTCTTCTATAGTTCTCCCAACACTTTACACCGGGGAAGAGGTGTTACTTCTGGCCACTTTCAGGTCTTGATTTTCTTCTTCTTCCACAGGAGCGGAACAGCAGTGTTGAGAGAAGGTAGCTCTGATGATCCAGCCCTGGTTACCCAGCCCTGCCTACACTGGGCAAACACATCTGCATTTCCTGGAGTGACCTATGGAGTATGTCTGGGGGGATCAGCTTTCTCTGCCTACCATTATATAAGGGCCACCACATAAATCCTCACAACAGGAAAATTAGGAACTTCCTCAGCAGCATTCAGCTCCAGTAAGAGACAGACCTCAGGTCTAAAAGGACCAAACATCGGATCCTGACTCACCTTGTAAACACGAAACGTGAATAGTAGACGAAAACAAAATACACCTTAAATGTGTAAAAAGGAAAGACAGAAAGCCAGACAAGAGAACACGCAACATCTTAAAACTTTAGTTCAATTAGGCAATGTGATTTATAGTTATTTTTGTACAGAGATGTCTGTCCAAAGACATTCAACTACACCATTTAGGAACGTGTTAATGGCATGCATTTCTCTAAAAGCAGTAATTTTAAAGCTGCGTTTCCTGAGTGTCTGCTACAGACAAACAGTTCATTTTTGAGAAAGAAGAAAGGAAGAAGGAGCAAAAGAGAGAAAGAGGAAAGCAGAGACTTTATAATACTGAAAAAGCTGTGTGGGAACACTAACAGCCCTCAAATGTGGCCGTAAGACCACGTGGCTACGTTGACAAGGTCAATCTAATTCCCTTGTGCTAATAGACCTGAAAACTGATCCTCATTAGAGAAAATCAGCCATTGACATAAACTAGGTGGAACCTGCTTTAGCGCCGCTTCCCGCTCCCAAACATTATAGCTTGCGTATCATGATAGATGAGGGAGAAGTGAGGCAAAGGTTTACTTTAATTGCCAGCTATCATAAGCAAGTATCAGATTTGCTACAGACTGGCCTGCAGAACCAAAAATCCATTAACATTTGCCCAAATACCCTCTTACAGCTCTGGAACATGCGTAGCCTTGAGCAACTTTCACCTCTGCTATCATCCGTAAGCAGTCCCATTTTCAGAAAGCCAGATTCTTCACTTTCATATTCAACCACTTCATATCCTCCCACTTCAGAAATTCCACTGGGGCAACCACTATAGCAAAGGAATAGCAGTTAACTGACGAAGTCAGGAGGTAGGTGTCAGGTAATGGGAGGCAAAGAATAATTCCCTGTGGCTTTGATTCCAAGGGAAGCAGCTGTGAGTGGTTCAGGTTGGTAGTATTTCCCCTCACTTCTATATTCTAATACTGTATGGTTGGTTTTGATGCAGATAATTCAGACTGCTCTTTAAGCTGGGTATGTGGAATTTGCCAATATAAAATTAAGTTTACAGCATGTTTGCTCTCTCCATTATTAGCCTGTAAAGTCGTTAGCAGTTTCTGGACTCTTCCTTTGCAGACCGTCTTGTTACTTGGGCTCTCTCCAAGCTATACTAAGAACTCCACTCTCTTCCTATTTCTCACCATCCTCCTTGGAAAACCCACTGCCAGCTAGAGAAGACATTGACTGAGCAGGCTTTTGCTGAGCATCTGCTACCACATTTCCTCATTACATGCTGAAATTGTACTTTCTAGTATTCACTAAAGACATGGCACAGATGACTTGTCAAGTTAAACATCCTTCCTGTGCAGTAACAGCACGCTATAAAGCCCTTGCCCTGTAACTTAAATGAACATAAAAGGATGTATACACCCCCCCCCCCCGAGTTAAAATAGATGACTAGCCGTGCCTAAGAGCTAAATGCTGCCAGTAGCTTTTCTATCACCTAGCTGCTGCAGTATTGCATTTTCATATAAAGTTCTGTATATAAAACTCAGTGCTCTGAGCAAGCTGCTTTTCCAAGGCAGAGTTCTGCCTCTCCATGTGAGACCTGAGGAACCTCCGGTGTTTAGTATCTTACAATGATACACTCTTCAGACCAGTGGCAGCGTCTCTCCTTGAAATCTACAGGCTTGTCCTATTCCCAATATCTTAGAGGTGCCTTTCATGCTACTTGGGTAGAATTCCCCCTCAAAATGCTTTGATGCAAATTTTCCCCTCAGGGACAAAGCCAGGGAAGATATTGTCCCTGCTTTGAAGTCAGTCAATGTCTTGCTCTAACAAGCTGTCTGCTGAAGATGGATATTCACAGACCCTGCTGGCCTAGGGAATGAAGTCTAGTTTTTTTCAGGTGTCAGAGCAAAGCACTATGATTAACACAAGCACACTGAGCCAGGTTGTCTCTTTCAGATAAACTAGCTTAAATGACAATTCAAAAAGCTCAGAAACGCTTCTCCAAAAACTTGAAAAGGCCAGAAACTAAAAATGGCATTTTTGGCATTTCTCAGGACTACTCTATTTCACAAACTTCCAAAGTGAGGAATCCACAAAAAGTAATAGCAGTTCACAAGGCAAGTCCATTGCCACCCATAGCTGGATGAGAGCTCCTTACCCCCACAAAGAAAAATCTACGTCCACAGCACCATTACTTACAGATTCCTGCATGGGGTGACTGAGAGGTTTGTCGAGAGCTGCCATGCTGCTCGGCATGTCTGGGGGATGCGACAGCTGTGGCCCATGCATGAAGTCATTCATAGACGTGCCACCAGGATTCCCGTGCGGGAAGTCAAAATTGCCATGACCTTGGTAACTGTTGCCTAAAAGAGAAACAGATGCGATATGAAAGAAACTATTTGTTTCCCAACATTGATCTCTCAGAGTATCTTGTAAAAGCTGTGCGGCACGGCATCCTCCCTGCGCCGCACAGGGCAACCGCAATGCTGAACGTGACAACACTGTGCTCCCCACCGTGGGAGCAAGCTGGAGGAACAGGGAGGGAAAAAACGGCACTCAGCTTTCAAATACTGGCTGCTGTAATAATTCATGCACATGTTGTAACTAATTGAAAACTGCTGACATTTTGAAAAACTACTGTCAAGTCACCACGTAAACTTAACCAAGTCGAGAAGTAAAAGGGATATTAAATCCTATGGAATATTTGCATCTGGAAGCATCTCGGTGCAACTGAGACTGCCTGCCCAAGTCCAAAATTATTTATAGGACACCTCTGTTATTTATGTCTACGCTTAACGCACTCAGTAAGACTGCAATATTGCTTCACTTTCTAATGAAGCTAATTGACAGAACTGTATCAGGAAGATGCCACAGTGTCAGTTCATAGCACAGCATCTATCTTACCTTTTCTTCTGTAGTATAAACAGGCAACTTCCATTAAGATAATGCAGAAGAGACCTTTGTGTCTAATTGGGGTTTGCAATGTAATTCTCCTTGCTCCCACAAAACCTAATAAAATTCACTTGACTGTCTTCAAACACAACATCAATTCTCCCATCTTGGATCTATTCTCATTTTCAGAGTTACAAACTGTCTGCCTATAGCCTGTGTTTCAGCATGTGGATGTGCACGCTCGTAATGAAGAACTAGTGAATTTATGAAATCCACCTAACTTCAGCCCAAAACAACGTTCTCCAAAGCACCAAAATTTCACACCAATTTGGAATAAATGATCTGGATTCACCCCCACACATCTACCATCTAGCAACAAGTCTGGAGTCCCCTGCTGATCTGCAGGACAAGTGCTGTATGACCATCGTCAGTATGTTTTGATCTGTCCCACCTCAGCCCAGTGATCTTCACTTGAATTCTAAAGCAAGCATGTATCCCAATACAGGGATTTTACTCTCTATATTTTTTCTGTCCAGATCCCCCTGTTAACACTTCCAACTGAGATAGCAACTCTGGTGGCTTATTTGCTATGAACAGCAAATTGAACTAAGGCCACTCAGCTATTTCTTATAAGCAACTGTATTGGATGATATTGAGCTCTGAAATAATAGAATAGCTTTGGAGCTTGCATGGAGAGCCTGCAGTTCGTCAGCTGAAGTAGAGCAGCTTTAAATGTTCAGGTCAGGAAGGGAGTTTGACAAACTGAAGTAGCTGCATCATTTGCTCTTCAGTACAGCTTCACAAGCAGAAGTTTAATCTCAGAGGAATAGAAGTCATTAGCCATGTAAGAGTATTTCTCAAAGAAGTCAGGACTTTGATCTATCATGTAAATACTGAAGAGCCTTACTAATTCTCATTTTGTTAATCTGCAAACTGGATGAGTCTCACAGAATATAGCTGGTCTTGCCTTGCTTCTCAGGAAAGATTTAATAGCAGGGAGCTGGAATAAGGTCTTCTATTACTGAGTACTTGTTATATTTGCAAATTAAACTTCAGTATGCTTACTGTCAAATCCAAATAAACACACATAAACCACAGTAGTAATACTACTACTACTTTGCTCTAGAGTACTGTAATCAGAGGATGTTACCTTATTCTAAACACTAAGTTTCAGTCCACGTATCGATGGAGAATGAAGATGCAAGGCAGTATGCCCAGGGAGTTACAGCCACGCAGCAGCATGCCCTTCCCTGGGGCAAGAGCTGTGCCACATGCTGAGGGACAGACCTATAAAGACATTTAGGGTAGTCTGGTGCTCTGCATTGATATGCCTATCGCAGGGGAAATCGGAGAGCGTGGGTTTCACTTGCCATTGATGAGTCAGGGCTCAGAGAAGCAATGACTACCTCTGCTACAGGATCCACAGGGGAAGGCAGGGAAATAACAGTCTAGGCAGCAATTGTTACACAAACCTTAAATCCCACTTTATGTGACTACCCTGTCCATTCCTGATGATGAGCTAAAAAGATGATGAAAAATAGATGGCTCTGTTCTCATGCTCTGACTGCACTTCACTCCTACTAAACGAGTGAAAAATTTGTGATTCAGTGCTCTTGGCTTTGTTATAGTAATCATTCATCTGTTTGAAAACCTAAAAAGTTTTATCATCTGTCACCAGTTTTGCAGTCATTGGAGCAAATTAACCATATTTTGCATGGAATCTATATTTTTCTTCAAATGCCTGCAAAAAGCACATATATCACCTTGTAATCAATTTGGGGATTCTGATGGTGTGAACAGTTGGTCTTTTCCCAGAGCTGAACTGAGTCATATCATATTACTTGCAAAAGAAACAGTCTCTGGTTTCATATTTTCAGAATTGTCACTGTAATTGAGTTATTCACAACATACGAGTCATTTGAAAACGTATCTCCACTGCCTGTATTTAGTTCCCTGTTTCTCAATCTGGCAGCACATGGGTAGAGGAACTCAAAAGTAATTTTCTAATGCAAAGGTGTTTGCAAAGCAGTTAAAAATCTCTTTAAAAGTCATCCACTTTCTGGGTGGCCTACCAAATGTCACCCACCTGGCCACAAGTTAAACTTAGCAGCCCAGGTAGCAGGGTTAATGGGCCAGGTTCTCTACTTTGTAACTTCTGTAGCACTAGAAGCCTTCACTTGAATGAGAAAGGAACAGAAGAAAAATGGACAGAAAAAAATGAGGAAAGATATATATTGTGGCAGGCCATGAATATATAAGGTAACATATAATGTTTGTTGGTTCAGGGAGGGCTGCATGGCAATAAATATGACAAGTACCAATTTCCTTACTAAAATGTATTTTCCTCTAAACAGATGAATCTTAAATGAAAAGACTGATGCAGAATTTCAGAATTGCAGCCATATAATTTGCTTTCCTTCTGCTTGTCTCTGAGAAGATGCACTGACATACCTGAATCACAAAGCTGACCGAACCACTGACTTCTAGAGTGACCACCTGGGTGCACAAAGCTGTAAAACTAACCTTGGTTCCCGTACTCAGTGGAGTTGTTGCCTCCTGGAGGAGGGGGTAGGGATGGGTAAGGTGACGGGCCAGGACCCAAAGCTGCAATCATCTCCATCACATTTGGCATGATCATCTGGCTTGGACTCATGGTCTTAAATCTTTTTGAGGGAATGCCATCTGGGTCATCTTTGATGTGAATATCTGACTTTATAGGAACCGGTCTCCAACTGCAAGTTGGATCAATGGTAACTTCTTCAAACTCTGAGCTGTAAAATAACGTGAAAATTTTAGCACATTAATTGAGGTTGTTTTGGTTTGGTTTTTTGTTTTTTTTTAATTAATTCTGCTGAAGTTTCCATAAGAATCTGCATGGTAACAAACGTTCTGAAATGCTCTAGTATAATACAACCTCAAGATCTTTTACTCCTCAAGTGTGTGCTGAAAGCAAGTTTTAAAAAAGGTAACTGTGAGAGCACATTTCTGCGTTTATCCACACAACGAAATCCAAACATATCTATGGTCTGCCACATGCGAATCAGAGGGACTACTTGTAAATACGGGAAAGCATTTAATCCTCCATTCTCACTCTTCCCTCTGCTTCATTGGTGAGGTTGCCATCATGAGATAACCCAAACAAGATCTATTAAGTAGATGGAAACCAATTCACTATTCACTGTATCACTAGCTCCACCAAGGAGCCAAGACATAGAATATTCAAGTGCAATCACTAAGACCTACTTTGGCGTGACTATCTCAGTACACATCAACATATCTCCTAGTTGCTTAGTCTTGGATATCAGAAATGAGTAAGTTCACTTACTTTTGTATAGCATTCAGAATACCCCACATATACTGGTCAACCTCCAAGCCCTCCAGCAGAGCAGTTTTACTAGAAAGGAAAAAAACCACCAAACTTCATGTTAGAATACTGCTACACATGTGTAGAAGAGGGACGGAAGGATAGGTTAGTGATGAAATTGGCAGACCAGGATCCACCAACTTACTATCTGTAACACATAATTTAGGAATGATTTGGGGCAAAAAGTTTTAGCTATATAACTGCATTACCAGGGTAATAGTATTCTACATGCAACAGATAAGGATACATCTACTTGTGTGTGTCCAGAAGCTGTTCACATCCTTTAAATCTTTTTTTTAGTTAAACATATTGCAAATTTAAAGGCTTTTCAAACATAGCATATCTCTCCTGTGAACATCAGCTAGCACTATTTTTTTTTCTCATTGGATCTTTTTTTTTTTTTGAGCTACATAGTAATATGGCCTCAAAGTAACTATGTATTATAGCTATTTTACTTAAGACCAGCACAGATGGGGACAGAACAAAACAAAAACGGAAATGATTTAGTTATGTAGGCACTTAGATCTGAATGCCGGTGCTCATACTCAGAGAAACAGGACAAAAATTTTGGCCTGGATGTATGAATATATAAATTAAGAAGCAAGACATCCAATTCTTTTGATATTTTTAGCCTAATTTGGAAGATAAAAAAGATTCAGGTAGTTCAGAGAAAGCACCTGCACTTTAGGATACATATCAATCATGGATAGTCATTGAAATAAGCTCGTCTCAAGTCTGCAATGTCCACAGAAGCAGACAGAATGGACCATCTCCACTCCTGTTTATACCTAACATCGGCTGGCACAGCAGGGATTGAACTGGAGACTTGCAGAGATGAAGTACAAGCTGCTACAGCTACAGCTGCTTGAGCTACAGAGCCCTGTCTCCTCAGCTGAGGCTGGAACAAACTCGTAACCCTGTAGACTGAGCACAGTAGGTTACAGACACTGAACTGGCCTGCAGACATTCTGTGATTCTTTCTGCCCAGTTAAATGTAAGAATGGGCAGTCTGTAACCACTTCAAAGCTTTTTGTTCCATGTCTTCTGCAGTATACTAGCTCTCTGGTCAAAACATAAGGTTGAAAGTATGCAAAGTTACCCCTCTCTTCCTTTAAGCAATCACTCCAAACTTCTCGGAAATCTTCTACCTTTTTTAAAATCAGCCTTATTCTGGACTAGAATCCTTTCTGCTTTCTGCTCGCACTTTAATTTGCACTTGATGTTGACTTTGACCTTGGAGGATCCAACTTCATTTCCTACCTAATTACTGGCAAATGATGCAGTCTCCAAAATTCCCCCTCTCCTTGAACACTGCCATTAACTGCATATTTATGTGACTCAAAGCACAGTGCCTGAGACAGTGATTTGGCACCCTTACTTAATGTTCAGCTGGATGCTGAACACTTCAGTATCTACATATTTAAGGTCAGTGATTTGGGCATTACAGCATTAAAATTATACAAAAATAACGCCAGAATAGACTACCCATTCTTTTGCCATGGCATGTTGTTGTCTGGTAGTTGCTTATACTTCATAATCTGGGAAGACAAACTCCCAGTTCATTTGTTCATGTAGATATCTGTCTTATCAATATAAATATTTGAGCTTCTTTTGAACTCTACACAAGTCATTGATAGCCTGTAATAAGAGCTCACAGATTATGTATTTTGTGAGAAAATATCTCTATTTTTAAGTTTCCAGTTCCAATTTTTAAATTTTAAATAATCCAGGGCATTCCCTCAATTTATGAAATATTGCAAGAATTCTCATTGGACTTTATGCTATTATGTAAATGTAATATATGCACCTTATTTCCTAGCACTTCCTTCTTCTCCCCCCCATGACCTTAAATATGACCTGAATTTGGTCAAATCGTGTACAATTGCATTTCATGTAGTATGGTTGCACTTACTTGCATACCGGACACCTCCAAGTTCCTCTTTCACAGTTCAGTTGCAAGTAAGATTCCAGATCAAAGCACTAGGTATCAGAAAGAAACAAAGAGAGAGAAAAAAAAAAAAAAAAAAAAAAAAAAAAAAGAAAAAAAAGGGAAAAAACAGGGTTAAAGGCTCTGGCTTGAAACTGGGTCCCTGAAAAAAAAAAAAAGAAAAAAAAAAAAAAAAAAAAAGAAAATAAAGAGGAAATCAAGGGAAAATACTGTATTAATTAAATCAGTTGGACAAAAGTAAAACTGCCATGAAAAAAAGCCTACTAGCACTGAAAACTAAACCAAACAGCTTGCTTTCCCCCTCTACGTTAAACATATATATAGTTAATTATTTAGGTTGATAGACACAAAGAAATCCCATTTCATTAGGCTCTCTCATACAATAACCAAGCTAAAGGTATTGTAACAACACATGGCTGAGGGAATACTGCCGGGCCACTGGCATCTACTCACTTGTACGTGCTTGCAATCGTGACCCCTTGCTGGGAGCTGAATCCGCCGGAATGTGATCGGACACTTCAGAGACACTTTAATAGCAGTTTGCTCCACTCCATCTTCCCCATTTAGTGTTGCGTTGCCAGAGGAAGCTGCTACGCTACTGAAGTTCCTCTTTACTGTTTAGGAAGAAGGTATATGTATGTGTGAGAAAACAAAACTGTACTGTAGAAATGTAGAAATTCTAATGTAGAAATCTGAAAGACCAACACTTCAACCTTCAAGGGCCAATTTAATGGGCAATTTATCCACACAGGTGTATTCTGTGTAATTTAGAACGTTCTCCTGAACAGACAAACCATCACACACATGCGTATCGGCTATACCCTCAACCAAATAAAGTGCCATACAAGCACTTAATGCAGCCCTAAACAGATAAAGAAGAATCTTTCTACACAGGGCTTTTAGGTAAGTCAAAAACAAATACGGGGGAAAAGCCAGAGAGATTCTCCTGGAATGGGAGAGTCCTTGTTGGGAACTAAGCTTGTATCCTTGGTACTTTGTTACCCTCACCCAAATAGCCCTCAACATTTGAGGATACCAAGGATTTAATCTACACACGTGATGTTCTGGAAATTCCTGACAAGTACAGCCTAAGGTTTTCAATAAGCAACTAAATCTTTTGTAGAAATAGCTTATCACAACTGAACACAGGCATTCTAGAAAGTCACCACCCACACAAAATGAAAACTCACTCTTAGTGATACAATGTTCTGCTGGGAGGAGGCGTTTCTTTAGTAGACCTTGAAGTACAGAGCGAACTGATGGCCGGTGTACTAACTGCAACACGAACAAGTGTGACTGAAAGAAAATGCATTTTGTTACCAAGAGAACCAAACGCACACGGTAAATATGCTGCTGAACAGAGCTGCATTCTTCCCTTGGACACGTGGCTTCCCTAAGACCCTCATGCTTAAATACAAAAGCTGGTTCTGCTCTGCTGCGCACATGCGCTCCCTTAGGGATATTCTGCACACTGTGCAGTATGTTGTTCTGTGCTCCACGAGCATAACATATACAAGGGCTTTAAAAAAAGCAAAGATCTTCTGCATTTTCTCCCTCCTTAATATTCAGAATACATAGGGCTGACGTATTCATCTCTGACATCAGGGTTTATTTTTAAAACCCTGGATTCTTTGACACAGTCTAGCCTACCTGCCTGCCCTCAGACTACCTTGGAAGTTGCGAAAACGATTTGCTGCTGATGTGTCTGGAACCAAATGAATCTTCTTCCCCAACAGAGAGCTAGTTGAGGATTCACAGGATGCTGCCCCTGCTCTTAGCCACCAGATAAATGACATTATGCGGAGAAACATCAGTGTGAAGTAAAGCAATATAGGTGCATGACTTCTTGTCAAAGTGCCTCACGCTGTGACCTTGGGAAAGGTAGCAGCTTGCTTTCTTGTCAGTGACAACAGAACAGTCAAAAGCTCAGACTGTATGTGTGCAACAGTCTGCATTAAAAATACAGTACTCATCCCCGAGAGTAACTAAACCATGGAAAAGGAGAAAGGGGAAAGTTGCATGGTCTAGACTGCAACAAAGGAATATGAGTTTTTCATCTGAAAAGCTATTTGAAAAATCATCACCATCCCCAATGATTATGGTGTTGATGTTCTCCTGTCAAACAAACACGGTTTAATACCCTACGTAAAAGAAATTAGTACCGGACAACAGTCTGCATCACAATAATCTACGTCTACATTAATACACTTCAGCCACCTTGTTACACAGGCACATGCTAAATAGGTAGGAGATCAAACTCCCTTCCTCCCCTAGACCACAAGGCTTTCCAGAGACATCGGAAGGACACCACTACATTCTGCAGTAATTCATCATCAAAAATTTCCAGATTAGCGCTCTGACTGCGGTAACATCTTCAAACAAGCACCTTACCAGGAAAATGCATGGAAAAAAATGAGAGTAAGGCTCTTTCAGCTAAGGCAACATTTGCAAACTGTACTAAATAGCAAACTCAGCACCAGCAGCTGCAGCCGTGAGCTCAGTGTACTTACACAACAACATGCTGTGACTGTAATTTGAATCGTGTTTCTTCCTGGCTGGCAGACGTGCTTTAGGTGCAGAGGTTTATGAGATGTCTTGTTGTCGCCACGTTCGATGGTAAGTGGGGTTGCATTAACGCTGACCTGGACTGAAGCTGGCCAGTTTGTGTTCATTTGTCTGTCTTCATGGTGATAGCACTTGAACTGTAATTCCAAGTCAGACCTGTACAACAACCAATAAATCTTCCTTTAACTTTGCTTTCACATTGCAGAGGGACGTTGTTTTGATGCTAGGAATGCTTTTTCCTTATCAATCAGATTATTTTTCTAGAATTTTTGCCAGTAAAGGATATAACATACTTTCTTCATAAAAGCCCTTAACAGAAGCAAGTCATGATGAATTAATGATGCAAGCATGCCACAAAGTTGTTGTTAATATTTTACACTTATAAAGGACTTTCCAAGGGAACATCTCAAACCACTTTGCAAAACTAGACCATGGAATGATCCTGCAGAAAGAAAAATGTTTACATCAGGTACGTCCTTCCTGTGTGTTAAGAGTTAAGAACAAGAAAGTGATACACTGCAGTGGGTTGTGCTGGAAGACTGTAGATTCTTCACTACTTCAGTGTGTTTAAAAGAGCATTTGAATGAATACTCATCAGACAAAATACAGGTAGAGCTAATCCTGCCTTGGAACAGGTAAATCAACTAAGATAAAATGACCCCTGTATCTCACCTCCTGTGTTTCTGTGATTCCAAATGAACACAGCTGTGCATTAAATCTACCCAATTTAGACCTTCTCTCAGAGCATGAATTCCTCCCACCTCTCCAATAATAACTTCCACACACTATTTAGCTCCTCAAAAATTAGTTTTATAACACCTCCAAAAAAGGAAGAGGCTGAGATTAAGTTAATTACAAATTAAGTGGGTAGAGACTATGACTTCAGTTTCATACATGGATGTTAACCTTGTGTCAGGAATGAGTAATTTGAAGAAGAAATTTAAAAGAACATGAAGAACTGAAGTGTCAGGATTCTGCTGTTCATGACAGCAAAAGACAGCTGAATGGTTATCTTTTATGCTCGAAAATCTAGGTGCTCATTTCTCTATCTTGCCTGAAGGAAGATATCTTTGTAAGATCCATGAGGAACAGCTCATTCAGATCATCATCGCTTAACTGCCATTTTCCTTATCCAAAACCAGAGATTTAAATTCTGACTTAACATCGTCTTTTCTGGATTTCAAAACATCAAGATTTAGCACTGGATAAAAACATGTTTTTTTTTTTTTTAAAAGAAAGGTATAGAATACAAATTACCCGACCTTTCAACATAATCCATCTGTATTAAGACTTTCCAGGCTTTTTTTCAATATTTTATCAACAATTTTTTGAAAGCTCTCTCTGCAAGATCCACTGGAGATTCTTGCCTCACAAGAACATGCTGCAGTCACCCAAACCCCGAGGGAAGCAAGGCCTGGTACCTCCGATATAAAAACCAAGCAGATTAAGTGTGTTCCTGAGGACTCTGAGCAGGCCTGCTGAATGTCACAGAACGGTGACAGAGCTCAGGAGACCCTCATGTTCTTAGCACGCAGCGCCTCCACCACGAGACACTATTAATAACTGAACAGCGCTAAGACTGAACCAGCTTCAAGGCAACATTTTCCCTGCCTTCAACCTTTCTGTTTCTTGTAACCATGAAAAGTTCCCAGCGGGGAGAAAAATAGTCGCGTTGCTATTCATTATGTGTGTACACGTGAGAAGTTTTGCCGAATATTTTAACTGGCAAACAAATATTAAGAATTGGCTCAATTCCACCATTCTCCATAAAACCAAAATCCATCCACACATGTGACTAATCGTTTTTCTGGAATCTATCCAGCCCTGAGTTAAATGTGAAATAACTTCATTACAGGACCATCCGTTCTCCCCGCTATTAACAAGCTTTTGAAAACAGCAGACCTGAGCACAGTTTACCTATGAGTCTTCATTAAAATAAGTTTAAATAAAGGCTATGTGTTTGGTGAGCTAAGGAAGAAAGAAAGAACAGATATTAAGAAACAGCCTCATGCCTCAGTGCAGCACTATAAATCTACTGAATGAGCCAGCACAATCCCCAGTAGTGATTACTTATTAATAAGAACCGGCAAATAACTGCCAAAACTCCCTCTGCTGCGAGTACTCCACGATAATGAAATGCAAGTAAGCAATAACTGACCTCAAAGTTAGGTGTTAATTATTGGATGTGGTCTGCCTGCAATCTCCTTCCCTTCCAGCCCCCAGGCTACCTCAGGGTAGGGGGGCACCGTGGCAGCAAGGACTCCTGCATCCTGCATCAAGCCTCAGCTTTAGAGCCAGGGTCCACGCCGGGGCAGGGAACTGAGCACACCTCTCTGCCCACCTCACGCCCTCCCCACCATGAAAACAGAAGTCTCAAGTGGACTCCAGTGATAGGGAAGAAGACCCTCACAGGGGAAAAGAGCTGAAGCTACAAATTATCACTCCCATTAAGGTCAAGGGTTATGTCGTCCAGGCTTGGGAAGAAACTGAAAATGAGACAGGCGTAACGGAAAATGTGCTTAAGATGCTGCATTTTACCATCTCAGCTGCTACACCTGTGAAAACCTCCATACGAGATCCTGAGCAACTAACCAGCCTCCACAGTGCACAGAGACAGGCTCAAACAATGTAATCAGCAGCCAGGATAAATACTGAGAAGCTTTCTGAGAAAAACAGGATGAGGAGACAAAATTATTCCATGGTATTTGAAAACATACAAATAAAAAAAATTAAGGCTCCGATTGTCATTTGATCTAAAGCCCCTCCATGAGCATGGTGGAATCAGGACATAACCTGGAATCACTTATGCAGATCTACATTAAATGCAGGAAAGTACCACCTAGGAAAACTACTCCTCTGTGCTGGAAAGTAGTACTTGCTGTAAGTGAAAACCAGAAGCCTTTGTACATGGAAAGCCATGCTCCGATATTTCTGACCTGTCCTTACTTGTGGAATCACAGGAGAAGGGGAATTTAGGAAGTTTGTTTCTGAAGTTTGGAGGATTTAAGCACTTGTCTGTCTTAATGATTTTACCAAGCCTCTAAATCAGGTCCTTCATTAGTGTGTTGGTTTTCATTATCAGATACCCTGCACCATTTAATTTAAGCATAAACTGTAACAGCCCTGCATAGTTACTCCTGCAACTAACATTTCACAGGCCACAAAGCACCTAGGACTTCAGAGTCTTCCAAATGGAAGTTTGTACTGGTGTCAGTCGTGCATGTCCCACACCCGTTCCACCCAGAGCAGAAAGGATGGAACCACTGCAGTGACTTTTCAAACACTGCATGCTGTATGCTATCAGCAAGAAGATGCAACACAGATCAGGAAGTATTTTAGAACGTGTTGTCTCTGGAAAGTGACGGGTGAGAGTATCTGTGAGTTTAAAGGGCATTTTTCCTATCTAGGCCACAATTTTTAAAGGGAAATTCATGGCAAACCTAAATGAAGTTCATCTGGCCTGCCACTCCTCCATCAGTGGGTACAAGACTTCCTCACAGCAAGGCTGAGCTTACCTCCACATCAGCGTCTGATGAACAGTTGGCCGTAAGTGAAAGACATGGTTACTGACTGCCAGGTTGTGTTCCAGCCGGAAGGGCTCCAGTACAACACCATCTCTCACGGGAAACGTCAGGCGCAGCTCATCGTTGTGGTTGGCTGGGATCGAAGAGGGAGAGAAAGCGTGAACTTTCCCTTTAGCATCTGCAGTGCGATAATAACGTGTATATTTATACAGAATAGTAACAAATGGCACAGTGATCTGCTACTGGGTCTAACTTAGCAGGTTCACACACACAAAAAAGAAAATCACAAGTGACTACATCATCTAACTGATGCAAGCGACTACATCATCTAACTGATGCAAGTGACAGGGCTCAAACTGATAGCGATGGAAAACCAAAATCTTCTATTCTCCCACACTTAATATTAGGACCTTAGCATTCCAGCCACAAACAGAAACGAGGCACGGCAAGAATTCCTTACTCTGTTGGTAGAAGACTGACAACAAATCTCTTAATTATGGCAAACTGTGATAATGCTTATTTTCCCCGCTTTGAACTGGGATCAGCATTACCCAATTAGTTCCAACAGTTTCATCAGCTGGAACTATCCAATGACCAAAGACACTGGTATTCAATTACTATCTGATCTCATAAAATGAGGTTTTGTGGTAACTTACAGCTAATCTATGAAGTCCACGTGTCTTTAAATGCTGTGTTCTCGCCCAAATAATATTTCAGGCCACCTTCTTCTACTTAATTTTTCAGCTATCTGGAACTGCAAACACCAGTTGCAAAGTGCTAATGCAGCAGCAGTTATTTTACAGAAAACATTAAGGTTCTCCCAAGTTCCCTAGTAAATGATATTTCCTATTGTTCATCAGTCACTTCAAAACCTCAAATATCTTGTGCTAGCCAGAGAGATCTTGTTATTCCTGCCCCGCTCCCAGCCAAATGTAGCTGTGACGTTGAGTGGCTTTGAAAGGAACATATATCAATTTTTGGCATACTACTGAATATTCTTAAGAAGCCTGTATGGATCACAATAGAGACACCGCTATAAATATTCACATTTTATGCTAGTCTGCAGTGATGTTCAATGAATGGCTTTGCCCTTGAACAAAACAGACCACAATGAAAGTTCATACAATAAACAAGCCTACTGAGGACACATAACACAACCCAAAATCAAGCGGTTTATCCTCAGGAAGCATATCAAAGGAATACTTCAGGAGTAAAATCCTTAAAAGTTTAACCTGCAAGAAATTTTCTGATACTCTGTTTCAGGAGGGGATAGCAATCTTTCCTGTCCACTGGCTCTAGTGAGCCTGCACCATGCATGCCACCTATCAGAACTTAGCAATTGGAGCCTCTCCCAGAGCAGCAATCAGAGCTAGTTTCCAGACTCTGAAATGTATGTGGCAGAGAACAGAGGGACAATAAATGACTGTGGGGGCATTCTGTTTGCTACTCACTTGGAGGTGGTGGTAAAGCATTGATATTTGGTTTAATGTCAGGTGGGAATGGTGGTTTGACATCCTGGTTAGGTGACAGGTATGGAGGAATATTGCTCCCTGGAGTCATAGGTGGCGTGGGGTTTCCTGGAACAGGTGAATGAGGGTAATTTGCCACAGGTACAGGCCTTGATGGCTAGAAAATAAATAACATCACATCGTTATTGCAGTCTGAAAATAAGAATAAGACGACTTGTGAACTGTACCGCTATCAAACACCAAAGACTACAAAGAAGGTAGGGAGGCCCCTCTATCTCCAGAAGGACAAGAAACCACAGGACATCCCATGAGGCCTTTGGAAAGAGGGAGACTAGGAGAGCAAAGCAGGAACTGAAACCAGCAGACCAGCCAGCTTAATTCAGGCAATGACCACATACAAGCAAGGCTGCCAAGGGGCTTATCGCGTTCCTCTGAATGCTCTCTTTCCAAAACCAACCAGCCATTCGCTTCAGTTTTTCCACACCATGCCAACCCACCCAGCCCTTTCTCTCTCTTTGGCTTCCTCCCAAAATAGCCCCAGTGTACAAAAGCCTACATGAAAAACAAAATCCAAAGACATGCAATTAGAATGTCTGTGTCCCTTCTACTTCCATCTATCCTTTCTTCCACCCCTGTCCAACTCATCTACTCGGAATGAAAGCTCTAGGGGTCAGGGGATGTCTTTTATTCTGTGTACCTACAATTTGATTCTGTTCTTAGTTTGCTGCTGAATAAGACAAACTAAAAGAAAAAGGACAGTTAAGTATAAAGAGTAGCTACAGTATTAAAACACCGTTAGTTTTGTTTCTTGTAATTAAGGGGATGGTTGCAGTTAACAGAATAAACCAATAATGATGGTTTGTTTATTTATTTGGTTTTATTATTAATGAAGGAAGCTGACATTAAGCAAAATTGCAGTTGCATGACACTCTCTTGTAATAGCTCGTGTACCATAAGCACATACACATCAGAGCGTCAGAAGATGAAAATCTTTACAGACAGCCAAAGTATCAGGACTTCAAATCTGATTCTGTATCTAAATGCTGCGCTGCTGGCCTAGGATACTCTACAGTACATAAGAGAGCTGCATTCTGAAATCTTAAGCATTTACATTTCCAACCATCTTTGCTCTTTTCTTTAACGCATACAGTTACTATCTCCACAATCACTACAATCCAAAGGTTTAGGTCCTCTCTGTGGCAAGCTGGAATTTTTCCCCTAGCCAGGTGTCATGGTTTAACTCCAGTCAGCAACTAAGCACCACACAGCCACTCACTCACCCTCCCTCCCGCAGTGGGATGGCGGAGAGGATTAAAAAAAAAAAAAAAAAAAAAAAAA